TGCTACAACAGCAACGGCTCACTGTCTCAGGTGACGAAATCAGACAGGGACAGCTCACCTGATCAGAACACTGTCAAGCTGGGCAAAACCGGGATCAAGCTCGACCGCCTCTTCCAGTCACTGGAGAACTCAGATGATGAGCTCAAAGAGAGCGTCTGCAAACTGGTACTCAGGATTGGCGAGATTGAGAAGAAGCTTGAGTCTCTTTCAGGGGTGCGAGGGGAGATCTCTCAGGTCCTCTCGAAGCTTACTAGACTGGATGAGAAGATTCAAGAACCAGAGGCTAATGGGAAATCAAGTGATAATGGCCACGTGGAGCAGGTTAAGACCGATGCGAACCTCTCGCCTCACGTTTTCCAGTGTCACACCACTGGACACAACATGAAGGTGGAAAAAAGTCCAGAATGGTGCTGCTCAGAGGCTGATGGAAGTGAAATCCTTAGGGTTAAAGCTTTAAAGAAGAGCATGTTCATACGCAGGTCATCCAGGTCGCTAAACGAGGATAACAGTGCGACTGAATCCAAAGTGGCCAGCATCAACAACTCACCTCGAGACTGGAGGACTGTTTCTTACTCCGGGCACACAGGGGACGAAGGGAAAGAAAATGACCGGCATAGTGAAGGCAAGGACAGACATAGGAAACCCAGAGAGGTAACAAACTTGTATACTGCACTTTTGTACTTACTGCATGTTGAATTTGTTTTTGTGAGAGTTGTACCCCAGGTTCTGCATTGCATTGCTATCACACTGACTGAATCAGTAGAGTGGTGCATCTCTTTTTAACGACCGTTTGGCAAAACCGACAAATAAGATCACAAGATTCATCGGTCTAAATCCAAAATTGACAAAAATCTTACTTTGTCAATGAATTGACTGTAATGACTTACGCTGTGTTGAGCTCAGAACTGATACTACATTACATGTACCTTTTGAAAGCAAATTGATATTCTGAAGAAGGTGTTTTGAAAAAGCATTGATTGTGTACAGTGCCTTAAAATGAATTGACTTGTTAGTGAGATGTAGATCAGTCTATACCAGGGCTGCACGATAAATC